TATACGTTTTCGGATAACTCGGCGCACTAACTATATTCTCTAATATCTTTCTCTTTCTTTCTCSCTTTCTTTCTTACTTTCTTTTAATTTTCCACTTATTCTTTTTTTAACTGTGCTTTCTTTGTGCTAATAGAACCGACGAACATGTTGGATTTAAAAGCGGTTATGTGGCTTGAAAACTATTTACAGGTGTGTACTARATYTACAGCTCATGAACCAGTAAGCTGTTTAYGGMCTTTATATTTTAAGGAGCAATTAACGGTWCTCCATTAACTTGTTTATATGTTGGTGCAGACTTGGTCAACAACAATCCTGGTTGTGTCCCATGACAGAAACTTTCTAGATACTGTATGCACAGATATCTTACACATGCACTCACAGAGAATTGACTACTACAAGGGCAACTATGAGGTACAATGATTTATATTACGGTCAAAASACTTGAAGCGCACTCCCTSAAAACACCATTATTCAATTCACTATTCGATTSTTGATCGATTCAACATTRCATTATAGAAATCAAATTTGAATTCAAACTTCGAAATTTGATTGGATWATTGATCGTATTTTCATAAAGCCTTCACCATATTTCGCTTGTAAACATGCTAGTGTAATTTCCACAAGTCGATGCATTGCAGTTGATGTACTGTCTGTTGATTTGGTTGGATCTGTTCCTTCTCGTCAGAAAGGAATGACGGTCTCAAAAAGCTGGAAATGCTGTGTTGTTTTCTGTTATTATCAGAGTTCAAGATTTGAATTTAATTTTGCATTAATCAGCTGAAGTCTGAAAACGAAAAATAAAATGAAATATCCAATAATGCATTTAATAACGAACTATTCGGGGGCGCGCTTCATGTCTTTTGACTGTTTTATCATAGCAGATAATTAACTACTCTGGGAGGGGATGTCAGTGCACTATAAACATAGTCACAAGGGAGACTAATGAAATGTTTAAGAGGGGACAAGGTCTCAAGGTGCCAGACAGCTGGTGTAAACGCAACGGAAGTTTTTCACGTWCGCAGGCAACCGTTTTGCCAAGAATATAACTTTTATTAGCTGAATCACTTAATAATAATAATAACAATTGGTGATAGCTAATAGCCCTTCCTCGCAGCCCGAGTGCTGAGTTACGAAGGACGCAGATCACGTGATTGAGTCGGTTATGCGGTATACGAGGGYGCTATCATTATGAGTACAATCACATAGTTATAAGATATACACAAAGCAGCCAACCAACTGAMCCATATCTGATCACGGAGCACAGCTAGGGTCGAAACTGTTGCATAGACTAACACAAGTGCAAATCATACAACAATTCGTGAGTTCTGTTTAYACAATGAAACTTAACTTATCTGCAACTCCCTAACGCGTGATCAGTCATGCAAAAAACAAAACTATACTACAGCTACAATGTAAGTAATGCATTCAACGATGGATCCGTCCCTTATCCTGATACTACAATTTTTGTGAGCTTTAGCAAGAAAGGATGCCCAGAAAATTTCACTATTTATGTAACAGCKACTTGACATAAACTGCGTTTTAAGTTTAGTATTGTTTTTGACGATGTTTGCAGAATTTCTCAAAAACAAGAGAAGAAAAACAGTTAAATCAGCAAAGAGAATATGAATCACAACAAATGTACAGACAGCACTTACAGGTATTTAATAGTTGCCAGTACATCACTATAGGTTATATATACACCAATATGCAGAAATTATGATCTTTTTTGCTCATATTTTAAGTATATATAAAATATGTCAGAAATTATCGGCAATATTTTTACTAGTATACTAGTGCTAGGCAACATCAAAAAACATATCAGCGAAGATAGCCCATAATTTCTGATATTATTGTTTTCTGTTGTTTTGTAGGAATTCATTGATAGATGGCGATACAACGCCAAAAGAGCTTCTCTTGCTCAAAGTAAAATCAAGATCCTTGAGAAACTGTAAGTATATGATCTGACTGTAGAGGAGCTAGCGTGGCCGAGTGGTCATGAAATCAGACCGACCAYRACCACTAGCTGAGACTGTATTTGATCTGATTTCGATTTGATCAAATTCTAACACAAKAAATCTCGGCCACGCTTACAAATAGTCAATTGTTTTGCCTCCTTGCCATTGGGGATTCTTAAGTGATTGAGTTGGGTCGGKAGGACAGCTGCTCGTGGCGCACGGTAATCTCCTCGTCACGTTTTGAAGTCGTCTGTTTTATTCTGCTCACAAATKTGTTGYCGTAACGCATCACGCAATCTACGCTCGTCATTTTCTTGCTTGTCTATTGTGGTAAAACTAATCAACTCAACGAATCTATGTTTTTCTTTTTCAGTCCTGTTCTTCAGCCAGTTATCAGAGATCCACCTGTAGTCATCAGGTAAAATACAGCTATTTTAAAAACTTTGTCGGAGAAAATATGGAGAAAATGGCCAGTAGAATTGATTATCGAATTTAACATTGCTCGACTGAGAGGAACCATAATAGTTTATACACGACTTTCAAAAATGGCGCTAGTTCACGACCGTCAATATCGGGGAACTAGTGACGAATCATGGAAACGAGACCTCAAAGGCCTTCCATCTAGAAATCACTACGAAAGATCGCATGTATGTAGTGCCCAAAAGTTGGAATGATGTTTTGGTATGTTATTTATGACAAAACACTWCAAGACATCATCGAAGTTTACTTTACGTTGGCTGGCCTTTGAGGCCTTGTTTTAGTGCTTCGTCCCCAGTACCATGGCAGGCGACYGTGACATATCGCGCCATTTTTGATAGTCGTGAATGAATGTCCAATATTTAACAATTAGACCTCGAGGCTGAGTGAACTACGAGCTAATAGCCCATGAGGTCGAGTCCGCGAGTCAACTCTCGCTAATACGGACACCCTCGGGACCGTAATTTAGTGTCCGCAGTAGCGAGAGTCCGTAGTAACGAGAGGTACCTTCAGTCATTGCTGTGTATAATTTTTCGCCGGGATTCAGTATTTTATTGTCCGCAATGTCGAGGTGTCCGTTGTAGCGGGGTGTCTGTAAGGCGAGARTTGACTGTATCTCTCTGTCATTAAAACTGTTCTATTTCAATTGTTTATTAGATTTCCTGAGTGTGAAAAACTCTCACCACCTATCCTGCGACTGGATGAGGTAAGGATTGTCAAACTTGCTTCCATCTGTGTTAAAACGATCAAAATGATTCAACATTTTTTTCGCGCATTTATGTCACGGGTATCCTTAATAGTGTCACGCGCATGCCTAATTGTGTCATGCGTATTTCTTATTATTGTCACGAGAATGCGTCATTAGTGTCACGCGCATACCTTATTAGTGTCACGCGCATACCTTATTAGTGTCACCCCCAGTATCACATGCTTTCTTAATTAGTGTCACGCGTGTCATTTATTTATATCTCTCGCATACCCTTTTAGTGACACGCGCGAACCATGTTAGTGTCATGCTGAGGAAGAAAGCGCCTGGTTTTGAAATTCGAACTAAACATCGTTACAAGCGAATTCTAGAAGAAAAAAATGCATACAAGTCAGAAAAAAATAGTGGAAAACTGGGAGCCCCCCCCCCCTTCTTTTTTCGAATGGCAGATCCCTTCTATCGGTGATTATCACAAACTTTATGAGTCGTTTGTATTCTTATCTCACAGGTAACGTTCCGGTACGGTTGTGGTGAGGTTATCTTTGAAAAGGTTGATATATCTGCGAATGCWGAGTCAAGAATAGCTGTGGTAAGACACAAAGTGATAATCATGTCGAGGCATTGCTTAGTGGCCATAAATAGTGCGAGTATTCCTAGAATAGATTTAAAAGAAATGCATTATGATCAGTAGACCTAATCGGCAAACCCATTGCTATAAACATTTCCACCCAATTCAAACCACCCGGGAGTAAGTTTCATTGTTCGTTGTATTTTCATTTCACAGTTGAATTCTTAGAAACAAAAGTTCTTTTTGTCACAAGGATTTGAATTGGGTGGTAACTTACATGGCAACGCGTTAGCCGATTAGGTTAGCTATAAAGTAGTAAGTGCGGATAAATCGAATGCTGCCAAATTGAATCCAGTTGAAGGTCACATGCGTGAATTGCTATACTTTCTTTATTTTGGTATTCAAAAAGTCATAGAAAATCATTAAATTGGAGACCTTCTAGATTACGAACCCTGTGCATTTCTGTTGGTATCGTTTCGGTGGTTTGGCCGGCCCCTGTGCATTTCTGTTGGTATCGTTTCGGTGGTTTGGCCGGCCCCTGTGCATTTCTGTTGGTATGGTTACGGTGGTTTTGCCGGCCAGTTCAAAGTGTCAGGAAAGCCCCAATAATCACTCTGTTCAATTTTGTTGATATTTTCTTCAATTTTAACAGGTCGGTGATAATGGTTCAGGAAAAACAACTCTGCTGAAAATACTTCTTGGTGAATTAGAACCAGTTAAAGGAATCAGACATTGCCATAGGTAGAGTATATAGTCCTATCCTCGTACTGTTCTTTCAGCTTATCACCAGAAATTCAGCGGCTATGGAGTCAGCGGCAAGGAGGATTGGGGCGGGGTAATAATCACTAGATCCCATTCCTCTCGCCTCCATTTACAATCCTCTGGGCATCCGAGGATGCAAACTGCTAGACCATTGTTCTACCTTCCCCGTGTGCAACMACATGACCAGGAATCGCCTGAGAAATAAAGAACACAGCTATCGACGCCATATTTGATTAATGAACAAGAGAAACTAATAAGGAATGYTTTGTGATCTTCATCCAACATGGCGGTGATGACGAAACTTGCACGCCAAGAACATTTCACATTACGATGTAAGCGCTACTTCAACCTAAAAGATATTTATTTTCGTCGAGCTTTCGGCTCACCGAGCCATTATCAAGACTGAATGAAAAAACGTTGCATTTTACAATTCAGTTTTGATAATGGCTCGGTGAGCCGAAATCTCGACGAAAATAAATATCTTTTAGGTTGAAGTAGCGCTTACATCGTAATGAATAGACCAACCTACAACCATTTATTTGATAACATTTCACATGTTTTGTTTTGTTTTGTTTTTTCAGAAATCTGAAAATTGGCTACTTTAGCCAACATCATGTCGACCAACTGTCTATGAATCAGTCTGCTATCGAAGCTCTYGCTACGAAATTCCCAGGTACTGTGGCCATACATGTAGACCAAAACTTTGCTCTTATTCCAAGACCGCAACGCATTATTGCACGCTCARCGGTCGTCTCGCKTCGATGCAAAGGCAAGGCTACCTATCAAGATGACGCGGGGARCCGTGAAGGAGACTATTCTCTATTCCTAAAATAGCAGCATATGGCGTTGTTTGTACTTAAGACGGACTGCAATAGGCTACTATCGCTTGTGAAAAAAATTTCAACACTCGAAGATTTATCATATAAATATCTATGAAATACCTATATTTSTCTCTTTCTAAAAATTCTCATTTTCATATTGAAAGAAAAAAAAAGTAAAAAAAACACGACATAATTTGCTTTCAGCTCGTGAGAGATCTTGATCTTGATCTCGTGAGAAGATAAAATCCGTTTCTCCGCGCGCCCATCCTATATTTCCTATTCAAATTCATTCGGGTCGTAATACTAAAATCCATTTACTTTTTCTGTCGTATAGGTAAAAATGTAGAGCACTATAGACACCAACTTGGTCGCTATGGCGTTTCTGGTGACCTAGCAACACGGCCGCTGGTCAGTTTGTCRGGAGGGCAAAAAAGTCGGATGGTATTGGCCATGATGACCATGACTAGGTAATTTAATGCATTAACTTAACTATCAAACTTTGCCTTAATTGCCCTGTGGCATAATGATRGCACAGTATGTTTACATTGTATATACAATCGTTGACAAAATCCTTGGACCATTCCAGCGAATTTCCTCATTTTAAGCAACACCCGCAGACAATTTCTTCCCCCCTGACCCCCCCTGACCCCCTTAATGCAATGTTGTCATTGATCATGATACCATAGTACACAAGCATCCAAAACAAGACCCAACATTGATGAAAGGGGGCTAAAGGGGGAAAACTGTGATAAAATAAAGGAGAAAAATGGTAAGCTGGAGACAAATAATTGTACGGTCCAAGGTATTGGCAACGATTGTAGATCCTCAGAAAGAATAAATTAATACTCTTTCCTAAAGTAGAGTTTCTGTGTATCGAGTTTCGATGTATATCACTCATCTACATTTTATTTGATATCAGTCACTCTGACCCCCTTCTGGGGCCATAATCCTTAGCTCTAACACAGTAGAATGTTTTGGTGTGACGTAATTATGCGATAGGGCAATTGTTCGGCTTTCATGTCTTTTTTCGCGGTACGGMAGCACTTATTTACTAYAGTCTCTTGACTGTCTTTTGGTATTATTAACACCTTTTTTGTAGTCCTAATCTACTGATTCTTGATGAACCCACCAATCATCTGGATATGGAGACCATCGAAGCACTTGGAAAGGCTCTCAAAGCATTCCAGGTAAAAATATAARGTTTATACGAGACAACTTATCGTCAAACCTATAATACTAGTASCGCAGGCTACCACGGATTCTTAGGGCTCTAATTAATATTTTTGCCATTGAATTAGTGGAGCCATTCATGATCCCCGCTAGCTTCTAAGCTACACGTTCTKCAAAGTTCCCCAAAATTAACAAATTGAGCACGAATGAGTGATTTGCACTGTGATTATACATGTTTCAATCCYTTTTGAGTCAGAAATTGACACACTAAAGCAGGAGCCCATTACTAGGAGCGTCCATGATGAGATGGTTTGGTCATAGCGTTTTTATAGCCGTGTCTATTTTTGGAGTTTTTTCAACCAATGAGCATTCACTTCCGGTGTTAYGCACTCGAGAGAAGTCGGCGGGAAACCAAAAGAAATAGCAAACAAACATGGTGGACGATAGTCAAAGGCTATTGTCATATCGTGTGAACGGGGTCTTAATGCACGTCCATTCCTTTCTAGGGAGGAGTTATTCTTGTATCTCACGATGAGCGTCTGGTCAGATCMATGTGTGATGAGGTCTGGGTTTGTGGCAACCGACAAGTGAAATCTATTGAAGGAGGCTTTGATCAATACAAACGCATGGTCCAAGAAGAACTACAGGCTGTGTTACAATAGAAATCAAATCAATTATGAATTTCTAGATTTAAATTATTTTATTTCTGGTAAATAAAAAATAGTCTATATATATAAATAAATTGTTCAAGTTTATGGCATTTCATTTCTTATTCTGTTTAGATTCGTAGATACTATAGTTAATGTGTACGCAACGATTGATCCAAGATGGCTGTTATCGAACGGAGATTAAACGACCGAAAGGAGTCATGGGTTTCCTAATTGACGGGGAATAATTACCGAGTTGTACTGTAAAATAGTCTGTGGTAAACTTTGGCTCCAGTTTTGTTTCGTATGTCAAATAACATAAGCATAGTTCCTTTCAGTCATGGAATATCACTTGGACAATCTCCTTTCGTTGTTCCGTTTTTTGTGGGTTTTTTTTTCGAAACAGATGCATAACCGTATACAGCAATTTCAAAAAAATTGAGCACTGAATACTGTATAGCGTATTCCAAGAACGAAATGCATTGTTGGATTCCCTATAAGTGTCGCTACAAAATGACATTTCGTACTGGAGAAAGTGCTTTCCATTGTAATGGAATTTTAATGGAATGTAACTTTTTAAAAAAAGCTTTTATAGTCTCCCTAAAACAGTAGAAAAAYACTTGACACTGTAAGGCCGMACTAGACAACACTTTTGCCTGCAACCATTGCATACAAAAAGCCTTCGTAAGTCATCCTTTCGACATCGCTACAACTGTCGTAGGGCTGTTAGCAAGTTGCATGCGATGAGCAGCAATGCATTTCGATATCGGAATACATAATATTCTATAATAGATGTATATGTCGACTCAACTTGACGAGATCTGCCCAGGAAAAATTTAAAAAAAGCAGACCCCTCACTTGTGATGGTGCGCGGAAATGTACTCTAACTTTTCCCTTTCAAAAGAGAGTAAGGTCGTGGTTATTCCTTGACTTGTACCGTATTTAAATGCTGTAAATATATAAAGTAAATAAACTTACTGTGGGTACCCCTGGACAGTAGCTCAGTTCTCATGTTGTCCATCAGTTTCAAGGAATAAAATTCCATCGTCTGAAATCGTTTCAAAACCTAAGAGTTTAAAAATGGCAAAAATTGCAACCCGCTACAACGGGTTAAAACAATCCGCTACAACCGATTGAGAACCTTTTGCGTTTCCCTAAGTATACTCGGCCCTGAACCCGCTACAACTGGTTGGTCAACCCGCTACAGCCGAACCCGTTGTAACTGGTTGACAACAACCCGCTACAACCGGTTGAGAACCATTTCTTTTCTCTAAGTATACTTAGCCCTGAACCCGCTACAACCGGTTAGTCAACCCGCTACAGCCGAACCCGTTGTAGCTGGTTGACAACAACCCGCTACAACCGGTTGAGAACCATTTCTGTTTCCGCCGAAAATCAGGACATACATAACTTTGAACTTTACAATGTGATTACAGTGATTTGATTGACATTTGATTGACGTTTATCTGATTAGTTTTAGAACAGAAAGTAGTATAGTGTATCAAGATAGAGTAAACCACGACGGTTTCGCCTGTTACAGAAGTTTGATCAGTTTTTCAGTGCTAACCAGTTTTGCTAACCAGTTTTGCTGACCAGATCATCTACAAGACTAGATACCCGCCACAAAGTAAGAACATTGATCTTATGTTAGTATCGTTTGGTAAGAGTTATATGTAACTATTTTGTATGCATGCCTTTAGATCGAATAAAGTAAAATAAAACAAAACAAAACCGAAGCAAATATACGATTTGTGGCACACCCATGTTTTTCAAAGAAACAATTTCTTTTCTCTAAGGATACTTGGCCCTGAACCCGCTAGTGTGCGATGGAGGAAAATAGCTCTGTTCATAGACAATATAATGTGGCATAGCGTAGAAAGGGGCAGAGAGAATTGAAATGTGCTAACTACAACAAGGACATATTGATAACCTGAGAGATTCAGTAGCTAGGAAATCCAATATTCATATTAGATAAACAAAGTCTTTATACATAAAGATGCAATTATTTAGAGGTTTTCGTTGTGTTGTCCTAAAAGTCAGTGAAACAAGAAGTGGTCCAGGTAAGGGGTTGGACACTCAAACACATGAGCTCGCAAGACAGCATTATAACTGTAGAAAGCATGTGTAATTTGAATAAATAGAGAGATTCTAACTTTGACGCAGGTATCACTTGGGTGGACCAGAACCATCAGCAAGGGTGGTGTTATACAGACCATTTGTAGGTACAGGTTAAGGAAGTGTAAACAGGCCGGGTGAATACTCCAGTTTCTAATTCTCTTTTGTGCAAGCTTAGCTTCAATCAAGCATAAATTTTTATCGTCTTCTTGCTACAGAGAGCGTTTGCATTACAATAGGATCTCTACTGAATAAAAGAATATATAACATATTTTCGAGGTTAAGGCTGCTCAAATAAGATCTCGAAACTAAAGTATTGTGACGTCGTCACAGGAAACCCAATATGGTACAACGTATACAAAGGGAGGGTGGTACGTATCAGTGCTAGGCAATTGGAACAGTACGCGTACATATTTAACGACGTAATTTAATAGGAAGCCCAACTACCACGGAAAGCTACCAATGTATGCAAAAAAATAACAAACGGTTATCGGAGAAATATCGGTAAACCACGAAGTATTTTACATTGACACGACATAGTGTCTATTGTGCCTCGTTCCGATACCAAATGTTTTGTTATTTTACAAAACTAAATAAGACGTCTTTGAAATGAATTGTCAGTTTTGTTTTTTTGTTTGTTTTTTTTTGTTTTTTTGAAACCTTCACGTTCTGCTTCCATAGCCAAAATGGCGCATACGCAAAACAAAATCCCTCTATGCTTATTGGCTCAATTTTAATTTATGAACTAGACGCCCCTGGGGCGTGAAGTCGGACTAGCTATTTTTGAAAATTGATAGACACGAGTGAAAAGATTATGATGTTATATTTTGTCTAATCATATGATATTAAGAATGTAAATGAAACTTGAGAAAGACAGCAGGATATTAAATAAAAGATAAAAATTAGATTAAAATATATATTTCTTAATTTTTCTCCAAAATAGCCGAACTCACGGTCTAATAAGAGCGTCTAGTTCAAAATATCCAAACTCTCTTGAGACTAAAATAAACTTGACCTAAAAGGTCATGTAATTAATACCAGCAATGAACGTTTAAAGGAGTCCTTGCTTTCACTGATAAAATCAAACGTTGGTATGTAGATTATGTGATGCTAAGTGAACGTTGANTCGAAACAGATGCATAACCGTATACAGCAATTTCAAAAAAATTGAGCACTGAATACTGCATGGCGTATTCCAAGAACGAAATGCATTGTTGGATTCCCTATAAGTGTCGCTACAAAATGACATTTCGTACTGGAGAAAGTGCTTTCCATTGTAATGGAATTTTAATGGAATGTAACTTTTTAAAAAAAGCTTTTATAGTCTCCCTAAAACAGTAGAAAAATACTTGACACTGTAAGGCCGAACTAGACAACACTTTTGCCTGCAACCATTGCATACAAAAAGCCTTCGTAAGTCATCCTTTCGACATCGCTACAACTGTCGTAGGGCTGTTAGCAACTTGCATACGATGAGCAGCAATGTCTTTCGATATCGGAATACATAATATTCTATAATAGCTGTATATGTCGACTCAACTTGACGAGATCTGCCCAGGAAAAATTAAAAAAAAGCAGACCCCTCACTTGTGATGGTGAGCGGAAATGTACTCTAACTTTTCCCTTTCAAAAGAGAGTAAGGTCGTGGTTATTCCTTGACTTGTACCGTATTTAAATGATGTAAATATATAAAGTAAATAAACTTACTGTGGGTACCTCTGGACAGTAGCTTAGTTCTCATGTTGTCAATCAGTGTCAAGGAATAAAATTCCATCGTCTGAAATCGTTTCAAAACCTAAAACGACACTAACGACTGCTGCGTTTTGTTACTTGCAAATGGTGAATTCAATTTCAAGTTATTCGAAGAAATATTTGGAGTAAGCTCAGCTTTTCACTAAATTATGGAGAAAGCTAAAGTTAACGTTCTTCTTGTCTGGTTTTTGGCTGGTTATGCTTGTTGCGTGATTGGTAAGTAAATTAAGAATCGATGAAATCTATACCAGGAATATTGGTATGATACAAAATGGCTTATAATATAAGCTGTTAAAATCTTTTTAGACAGCTTAATGCAAGAATTTGACTTTCAGAGGCTCCAACTGACTTCGCTTTTTAAGTGTAAAGTCACTGTCGTTATATTTCCGGGTTACTTGGAGTAAATATGCTACCTCGGCTTTTTTGTTTCAATGTACAAATACACTGAAAAGTGAGGTTTGTTGGGTTCTTAAAAGTTTAATGTATTTGTTTAATAAATGCGTATTATTCAGTGACTAGTATTCCATAAAAAAATACATCTAGCTTGTAACTAGAGAAGACACTAAATGGAGTGGAAGCGTGCCAAAAAAATGATGACCTCATTACTCCATTAGAATTAAATTTGCTCGTTTTTTCTCGTCATCGCATAGCTTGACATGAAAATTGAAAAAAGTCGATTTCATTGGCGATTGTTTCGGTCTATAAGAATTAATGAAAGTAAGTAGAGTTCTACTATTAAATACTGTAATTGAATTTGAATTTTATCGTTTCTTAAATAGGTGACGCGAATTTTATCTCAGTAGTCACACACAAAGCTATCAAGACGAGGCGTTGTGCATAAAGCTCAGTCATTCTTCGTTAATAGACAATAGTTTATTCCGAATCGGGCTGAGCTTTGTGTACGGCACTTCGTCTTGGTTCTTTTGTGCTTGACCAATGAGGCGAAATTCGCAAATGGGCTATTTCTGCCGTGTAGGCGAGAATGCAAAGTTTCCGCACAAGACTGAATAACAATTTCAGGTCAACAAAACATTTCAATCACCTCAAACATTTTATAGACATAATATATAACACACTCAACAGCACTGATGAATATTGAAAATTAAAAACTCTTTACTTCCTTGTTTAGTCATAAGTTATTCTGATAATTTGCATGATCATGTAAATCGTCGGGCACAGATACGTTATCCACAGTGCTTTCCTAATCCTTTTTATTATCAATATCTTGAGTTTCTTCCAGCGTATTCACAAAATTTAACCAGTCTTCGGCTTTAAAAAAAACACGTCGGTTAATGAAAAAGGTGATATCATGAAAGCCGAAAGGAACTTTCATTACTAAGAAATTCGAATTAAATCATGTTTGCCTAAAGACACTTCATAGCGTTACTGTAGAGAAGGTCATTGTACTCCGGGAAGGTAGACGTCTTTTGACACTGAAACACTGCTATGCTCGTAATATTGCTCTCTTATCGTCTTATGTTTAATTGATGTAGCCGTGTAATAGGGAGGAGTGTCGTGATAATATCATAGGCAAAACCTGAAAAATAGTAAACAGTTGGAAAAAACAGTTCATGATGATGGACAGTCGTTTGAGAACGTTGAAAAATCTATTCAGTAAACAGTCTTCTTGAATAACTTTAGCACTTTGTTATATTTTTAATTAATTCTTGGCTAGGAACAGCGCCTTTGAGGTTACTGCATAAAACAGCGCATCCACCGTCATCAGTGCAAGGTATTTTACAAATCTATCACAATGGTCAATGGGGAACAATATGTGATGATGACTGGGACATGCTTGATACAAAAGTAGCTTGCAAACAACTTGGCTACGAGAGCGCAGTGGCTTCTAAGTTCTTAGGACAAGGGCCTGATCCAATTTGGCTCGAAAACCTAGGTTGTATTGGTAATGAATTATCACTAGATCAGTGCACACACAGCGGATGGGGCTCTCATAACTGTGGACATGACGAGGACGTTGGTATTGTTTGTACAGGTAGGGACGACTTCATTGTGTGTAAGCCTAGTGCATAGCTAGACTCATAGAGATACCGCTGTACAAATTGATTACGTACACACAACGAAATGCAGCAAGGACGGAGAGAGTAAAATGTTTTTGTAAGGGTTTGTAAGTCTTATTTGTTTTGTAATTTCCGTAGGTATAACTTTAGTTTTTTGCTTATTCTTGTAATAATATATTGCTTATCATTTCTTTAGCGAATCGTTATGAACAACAAGTTGAGGATTTAAACTCGAATAAACGAATGCGAACCGCGATCATAACCTACCCGTCTACTGCACATTGTGATGCTAAAATAATATCAATGCAATTTCATATCATCCTAGGTTTGTTTCATCATCCCATTCATGATTTTCTTTATAGGTCGGTCATTGAGGTTGTTGCGTAAAACTTTCTCTCCGTCATTAGTCCAAGGTATTTTACAGATTTATCACAATGGTCAATGGGGAACAATATGTGATGACTCCTGGCGCATGCCTGAAACAAAGATAGCATGCAAACAGCTTGGCTACGACGCGGTGTCTTTCAAGCATTTAGGACGAGGACCTGACCCAATTTGGCTTGATGAAGTAGATTGCAACGGTAATGAATCATTACTAGAACAGTGTCATCACCGAGGATCACTGGAAAAAATCGCGCTCCTCGAAGGTTGTAAATATAATGGAAAAAGTATGTAAATTTGATTTACACTATATTTACAAAGGTTGTAAATATCGTGTAACTGTCCAAAATGATGTAAATATCGTGTAAATTTGGATTTACGCGATATTTACATCGTTTGATTTTCATCATATTTCCATCATATTTCCATTAAATTTACAACGTTTGTAAAAACGATGTGAAAACGATGTAAATTTGATGTAAGTGATATTTACAACATTTTTACATCAAATTTACATCGTTTTGGGGGAATTCTAGAGCAACTCAATTAAAATCATTCTTATAAACAGCGAAACTTTTTGTTTCAGTTACTTTTTTTATTTTAAATCATACAAGCACTTATAGATTTGTTCATTATTAATGAGTATTTGCTTTGTGTAATTCATGGTTTTATTATTCATTTCAGGGATGATCATAATGTAAACTAATGAACTTCTCCAATGTAAGTATTGCAAATTTACCTCTATGCATGCACGACTATTTAAATTATTCTTTATTCTTCTTGGTAAATAACATTTACTCACCTCAAGTACTGTTATTAGTTGTCACCATGTTTTCTATTGCATGTTCTATCCTTTTGTCTTGTTACTCATTTTTGTTATTATTATATTTTATTTCAGATCAAGATCAGCACACAGCTTTACATTCAAAGATTACCTGTTTTATTTCTTAATAAAAGACTTGCAAAGATTTAATTTATTGCCTCATATTTGTATTGAGAACCATTTTGGGAGGGTATAGATAGAAATTCAGAGATGCAAAATTAATAAGTCTATAGGGAGACCTCTCTGAGAAGAAAAAGTAGTGAAAATAAAAGTGATTTTTTTGTCGAGTATTGTTTAGAGTGGGAGTATAAGAGAATGGTATCATTGGCATTCTAATATGCAAATTATATCTTTCTCTTTTAACTTCCACTCTATGCAATATTTTGATAAAAAAGAATCACTTTTGTTGTCATTATTTTGCTCTTTTTCAGAGGGTTTTCCCTATATTCGAACGGACCAATCACATCAAAGCATGTAAAAAGCGTGTAAATTGTAATCCATCCATTTACGCCGTTTTTACAACGTCTGTAAATATCGCATGAATATTATGTAAATATGATGTAAATTTGATGTAAATATCGCGTCTCTCATTCCCGCGATATTTACAATGTATGTAAAAAGGATGTAAATTTGATGTAAAATGTATGTAAATTTGATGTAAATATGATGTAAATCAAATTTACAATGTATGTAAAAAGGATGTAAATTTGATGTAGAATGTATGTAAATTTGATGTAAATATGATGTGAATATGATGTAAATCAAATTTACAATGNGATACCATAAAATCATAAACTCGCCTTTTTGTTATTGATAAAAAATGTTTCTTCTTGTTCTAATTTGAAATCTTTGCCCACACAGGACTGCCTAACGCTAGAAAGGCCATTGATTTAGTTTCGTAAGCATACTACTCGAAGCACCAAGCGATCTGCACATGCGCGTACTTATGATACCTAGACTGATGCATTCCGATGAGATCACAGATACCACATTTGTAAACGAATAGTTTTTTTGTCATATAAAAGCCAAGTAGCATATAACATGTACTAACGATATTCGTACATCAATACGCTTGAGCTTCCGGTCATGTAATAACACAGCCAACCCAATAGTTAATTATTAAATTCTTAACTTCCGGTGGTCCAAACGCGACATAATACATAGATAGATAGATTGATCGATAGGCTAAAAGGTAAATTTAAAGTCGGACCGCCTTCGGCTAGTCCGACTAAAAAGCAGTGGAAAATTCTAGTAGACATTAATCCTTTATACTAAATTGTAGCCCCAGGTCAGCCGCACTCCAGCTTGAATTAACACTGATAGACAGGTATGAAAATGATTGGCCTTCTTCGGGGGTTGAAGCGGAATCCGGAGTACGGAATAAAGTATTTTATTTTAGAGAAGTATTTGGAATTCTCGATTTGCTAGAAGGAAGAGTAAGGACTACTTGAAAATCATTAAGTGGAAATAACATTAATTTCTCATTGAGAGCAGCAGAATATGGAATAGAGCAGATTTCGTATGACTGTGCAACGGCACGGATCACAACACGGACATGTCACGGCACGGAAACTCGCCTTCTAGGATTCCAAATGAAAATACCGCTACTGCACGGTACGCGGGTCACAGCACGAAAATACCGTGTTTTTTTCCTCATACCAAATCCGCTCTAATACTCGTCGTTCCGAATGTTCAACCTCTTTTCAGTGCTGAGCGATCTTTTTTGTCATCATTTAATGATTTACAATTGATTTATGTTTTGATGATACCACTTCAAAATAAAAATGAAAAGATTGCATGATATTATCAATGATGCACCACCAAAGCTTAAAGAACTAGGAACAAGGGAATAAATAATTATTTGAAAGACGAACCCAAACACTATGCCCGAACTCCTCGCGAGTGCAACAACGAAGGCTTTTTCACATTTAAGCGCCATATTCAGGAATAATTGAGAGAGAGATGCAAAGATCCCCACACATAAAGCAAACAAATAATCTGTACTTTGACAAAATGGAAACTGGAATCCTCTGTCAAAGTAGGAGCCAAGAATTGAATAAACAAGTCCAACCAAACCAAAGTACAATAGTACTAAACTAGATGGAATTTTGAACGTTTCTAGAAGTACTCTAGCACCTACAATATCAAGAGCTGTCAATACAGCACACAGTAAAGCAACAAGAGAGGGTATCAACACGTTATCATACTCAGGAGCACTGTCTGGATGTCCAAAGATGAATGTTGGTCGTGCAATCAGAGTTACTCCAGCCAAGCATAATACAAGAAGAATCGAATAGATCCAATGTAAACGCTCCTTCAAGAATATCCTTCCGAATATGGCTGTAAACACTGGGGACGTGAAGATTAACACGGTAGCATCCCCCAAAGGCATGTTTTGAACAGCGTATACTCGTGTAAACATTCCGCTTGCTCCCAATAATGGCCTCAAAGCAAGAAGTACAATGTGTTTTGGCGGACAAACAACAAGAGAATGATTTGCGTGAATAACAGGTGGTATTGTCAATACAAGTTGAATCACATATCTTATAATTCCAATTTCAAAAGGAGGGAGAAAAAGGCAGAGTTTTGCAAATACGTTCACCATAACCAGTGATAAAGCAGATAGTAACGCAAGAAGAATCCCAACCACTGAACGGCAATGTTGTTTAAGTGTAAATACGTTAACAATCCTTGGATTTTTCGTCTCAACAGTTGTGAGGGCATCTTTCTCTAGTTCTCGTTCCATCCCTTTTCATAACTAAACGCCCCTGGGGCGTGAAGTCAGACTAGCTATTTTTGAAAATTGATAGACACGAGTGAAAAGATTATGATGTTATATTTTGTCTAATCATGTGATATTATGAATGTAAAGGAAACTTGAGAAAGGCAGCAGGATATTACATAATAGCCTGCGTGGCGGCTCTAGGGGAGGGGGAGGGAGAAAACGGAAGGGGAGGGGTGGGGAGGCGGTCCCCCTCCCCCTTCCCCTAGAGCCGCCACGCAGGCTAATTACATAAAAGATAAAAATTAGATTAAAATATATATTTCTTAATTTTTCTCCAAAATAGCCGAACTCACGGTCTAATAAGAGCGTCTAGTTCAAAATATCCAAACTCTCTTGAGTCTAAAATAAACTTGACCTAAAAGGTCGTGTAATTAATACCAGCAATGAACGTTTAAAGGAGTCCTTGCTTTCACTGATAAAATCAAACGTTGGTATGTAGATTATGTGATGCTAAGTGAACGTTGACCTCTCAGGCCCAAAAGTAGCCTGTGTACATCCGTTTCTCACCCCTCCAAAAAAATCGGGGAGAGAACGTCTGTGATTTGCCGTTGCTAATCGTGTTCTGAGGTCCTCAAGATTTGGAGGACGAATTTCATTGGCCGTTGACTTATGATTGACTTGTGATTGACTTGTGATTGGCCAAAATCAATAGATGGCGTGTAAAGTTGGTCGCACGAGTGAAATATAAGCCTTCATGGTAAACCACTGGAACATGTAGAATGCCTCAAATTGAATAGGTTATTTGCTCTCAAATTCTCTGTAAAAGTTTAGGCTTTAATCTTATATTCGGTCAGGGTAAATTTAAAATTGATGTGGATTTTTTTGGAGGGGTGAGAAACGGATGTACACAGGCTAGCCCAAAAGTAAATGATACCATAAAATCATAAACTCGCCTTTTTGCTATTGATAAAAAAATGTTTCTTCTTGTTCTAATTTGAAATCTTTGCCCACACAGGACTGCCTAACGCTAGAAAGGCCATTGATTTAGTTTCGTAAGCATACTACTCGAAGCACCAAGCGATCTGCACATGCGCGTACTTATGATACCTAGACTGATGCATTCCGATGAGATCACAGATACCACATTTGTAAACGAATAGTTTTTTTGTCATATAAAAGCGCAAGTAGCATATAACATTTACTAACGATAGTCGTACATCAATACGTTTGAGCTTCCGGTCATGTAATAACACAGCCAACCCAATAGTTAATTATTAAATTCTTAACTTCCGGTGGTCCAAACGCGACTTGACACACAGATAGATAGGCTAAAAGATAATTTTAACGGCGAGGTCCGACTAATTAAGTCCCTTGGGTCTCCTGTGTTATGATTACCATGTTTACAGTCACGAGTTAAGCGTGACTGGCGTATACGGATCATACACGTTTCATGACGTTACAAGTCCAGACCTGTCTGCAAGCCGATTTAAAAGAGAAATCTCTTGACTGTGTGTGTTCTCAAAGTGGTATTAAGGTACTGTATTATGATTTAAGGAAGCTTACTTATGAACACCAAGCAGATAGAAGCATCATTTGCGACAGCCGTCTCACATAGATGTGTGAATTGATGGGAAATGTGGCAGTAGATATGGCTAGCTTGACATTGATTAACCCTAGAACTTTCATAAGTTCGTGAATTAAAAAATATATTTCATGAGAAGCAGAGCTATGGGGACGTTTTCTTTCACTATTTGAAAACAAATAGTATTGAGCTAAGCCGTTGTACCAGTTGTGATATGAGCGTTTGAAAATAACCTAAAAAATGGTTCTGAACAAGACGATTTATTTAAAAATCGTTATTATCTATTATTTAAAAATAATAGATGTGCATTGCTGCTTTTATATGTAAATTTAAGCTGATAAATTTATTTAGTGAAAAACGAACAATATGAATTGATTATTAGCACATTCATTTTTGAGGGAACTCGAAGGGGGAAAGCCTTTGAAAACCGGAAATGACGTCGACTATAAATAAATAAATAACTTTATTTTACGAGGGTAGCACATTAAAGTCAAAGACTGATAAACTCGTGTCCCTCCCAACTCACACTCACTACCTCTACATTAAGTATTTTTAGCACACAACACTCCTCACATTATTTTTGTTGAGGGAGGAAAACCGGAGGACCCGGAGAAAAACCCTCGTGGCAAGGGAGAGAACAACACAACAAACAAACTCACTCACATATGGTCCGTGTCCGGGAATCGAACCCTGACCACAGCGGTGAGAGGCCAGTAGCTTAACCACTAGACCACCCGTGCCACCCACACTATCACATTTAGGCACCGTTTACCTAAATATAATTTTGATTGATCTAAAACTTATAAGTGTACCTTGCTTTTCCTTCTTGCCAATTTAGAGAAACTTGAAAAAATATATTTTGAATTCCATAGTGTCCTCTTAAAATGAAAAAAAATCGAGTCATAAGAATGACAAGGATGCTGCAATATCTATGGTTGCGCTCGATTGCGTATTATTGACGTCACGGAGAAAAGTGGTAATAGATATCTTGCTGTATAACCAGGACTGTACGACATTGAGTCCATTGCTATCGTCCGACAATGACGCGCAGAAATATAATCATGCAGCAGGGAAAACCCCACAAAGTTTTCTTCGCGTTAAGGTGTTTCGATCGTAATAAATAGCGCTTCGCGCGTATTTTTAAACTCCAACTACGTCGCAAATTTCGATTCGATCTCACTCAAATTTTCACAGAAGTAACAGTGATTATCGATAATTCTAATATATAATTTGCCAAAAAACGAAGTCATTTGGATAAATGTTGCAAAATAAAAACACCTTCATTTTTCTTCAAAGTTAATTTTCTCGAAACTCATGACAGAGATTGTAATACAATTTTCAGAATCATTTTTTAATAACATCATAATTGGCATACTGACGAAGTTTGAATAAAATCTTTACTTAAATTTTCGAGATATTTGAGCATTTCAAAATGTTGGTCAAAACGATGAGTCCATGTTTTTAAAAAGTCCTCGTTTGTCACAATATTCGAAAGACACATGGCCAAGAGTTTACTACGGAAAAAGATCTTTCCTCCTTAAACATTACGCGTTATTTCTCAAATAACCAAATTTCCATCTCCAACAAACACTGCAAGCTATATTTGAGCTTCCGAAAGGGCTACATTACGACAAAACAATTTTTGAAACTTTTCGACCTCCATTAACCAGCAACTCGGGTGCGTTTGTTAACATATCAGCTTTATGCTAATTTTACTACATATTTTATCGATAATCACTGTTACTTCTGTGAAAATTTGAGTGCAATCGAATCGAAAGTTGGAGTTTAAAAATACGCGCGAAGCGCTATTCATTACGATCGAAACACCTTAAAAAACTGCCTGGTCAAAACAACAACAAAAAATGTGAATCGGAGATGTCTGTAGGATGGATTTAGGCTTATCAAGCTAGACTATTTTGACTCTATGAGACCGAGCGTTCGCCCTAAGCTAAGCGGGCTTCTTCTGGTTGGCAACGTTACAATAACACGAGAAGAAAGGAGCACTACTGAAATAGTCCGCGTTGGCTAAACGTGTACTTAGGACTGGACGGGGCATTAACTGGAGTGTAGCAGCGATACTGGGAAAGGAGTCGAGGAAACATCACAGGAATTGAGAGGAGGCATGTCATAAAGCAAAAAAAGAAAACACTTTTTTTAATAGAGAAAATGGTAGAATTTTATCGTGATTAGTGATTAGTCCTTAGAACACTCCTTCTTTTGTATCATTGGGCGCACGCATTGTTGTTTTGCTTATGCCGAAATATCGGTCTAATAGAGTCAAGATGGTCTAGTTGTCAGAGTCTGCAATTATAAGAACAAATTGATTCCTTTTTTTCACAAAATATACAGATACCATGGAATTCAAACCGGAACAGCTCAACTTCTTCAGGTTGTGTTACATCGTCTTCGACATCGTTCCTCAAAGCCTACGAAAGATTTTTAAACAAGAATGGGATGCACTATACACAGCTACTCCTGGCCAGTGGGATGACACGCCTANACAATGTATGTAAAAACGATGTAAAAACGATGTAAATATTCTGTAAGTGTCCAAAATGTTGTAAATATCACTTACATCAAATTTACAACGTTTTTACATCGTTTTTACATCATATTTACAGCGCGATTTTTTCCAGTGGATGGGGTTCTCATGACTGCAGTCACAGTGAGGATGTTGGCATCGTGTGTAATACAGGTAAAAGGACGTCTTCATATAAAGTTATAAAAGTCGGTCTTAATAAGCTCCAGAATTATTTATTCTTGGGGTTTCAAGAAGAGATCAGTGTCAGCCAGTATACTGCCCATTTATAGCGCCGGGTAAGACCAGCTTGCAGGGGTGTCATAGAGAACATTTAAATTTGCTGAAAATGAAAGTTTAATTTTTTTTAATTCATGCATTATTCGCCTTTCTAGGAAAAGCTCCATTGAGGTTGCTGCATAAAACATTCTCTTCAACATCGGTTCAAGGACTTTTGCAGATATATTACAATGGTCAATGGGGGACAATATGCGATGACGGCTGGGACATGACAAATGCAAACGTAGCGTGCAAACAACTTGGCTACAACAATTCATTAATGTTTAAGCACTTAGGTCAAGGAACTGGTCCAATCTGGCTTGATAACGTAAATTGCAGTGGTAATGAATTGTCACTAAATCAGTGCCATCACCAAGGATGGGGTAGTCACAACTGCAGGCACAGGGAGGATGTTGGTATTGTTTGTAATAGTAGAGGTAGGTGATGCACCGACTCTAACACTAACAAATTTTCTTTTCATTTCAAAACCGTATATATAATTAGTAAACTATTTATAGGACAATTGAATAACCATACATGAACCTTTAAATCTATTAAAGGTTATCTTTATTAGCAAGAATACTAATAAGGATGACCTGGCTTTATAAGATATAAAGATCAATGATGCCTAGCACAGGTTTAATACTGACCAATGCATGATTTTAATTATTCACAATCAAACAACAAACATGCCTAGTACATAACTTCATGCGCATTCGATGTGGGATGCCAAATTGCCGCGCCCTTGTATTTAATGATTCGCGTATGATCAGATTGCCCCATTTATCTCCAAACATATTTTTTCGACCATTTTCCCAAGAAACGTAACGAGTTTGAGTTTAATAAATTATTGTTGAAGTTCTTTAGCAGTTCAATAATCTTGCAAGTCGCGTTTTACTAGGTATAAAGATTCTCGCACTCGTGCTCTTTTATAATTCATTACCATTGTTTTAGTTCTGATTAAAATTATTTTATCATATAATTATCTATGGAATGCCTATATTTCTCAAATTCGTAAAGTTGTTATTTTCACTAGTGAAAATAACACATCCGAGGTTTCTCTTTATAGTGGAAGTAAGAAAAAATGTATTTTACGATATACTTTGCCTTCATATGTAATTATATGATAAACAGAATATTACACTGTGTGCACTGGAGCTCCCGCACGTCTAATGATGAAGTGTACGGAGAGTTACCAAGGCTGGATGTCAAAATTGCTGAGCGCAGACTACGTCTGGCAGGACACTGCTACCGCCACCCTGAACTAAGCACCCAAAAATTGATCCTGTGGGAACCAACTCACCGAACGCGTTCCAGAGAAAGACCTCAATCGAATTATGTAGACACCCTCAAGCGCGACACTGGGGCAATCAGCACACATGAGCTGGCTACGATGATGGAAGACAGGAACGTTTGGAATGCTATTGTTAAATCTCGGAGTCATCCGCCTAACTAACTAACTAACTAACTAACTAGAATATTACATGGTCGCGAATTTTACATGGTCACGAATTTTATCTTCTCGTGTTGAAAATCTTTCACTCGTAAGAGATCTTTTCAACACTCGAAGATAAAATCCGTATCTCCGCGCACCCATGTGATATCCTCTATATATTTATTTTCTAGGAACAGCGCCAATAAGGATGCTTCGCAAAACTTTCTCTCCGTCTTTAGTCCAAGGTATTTTGCAGATTAAATACAATGGTCAATGGGGAACAATATGTAATGATACCTGGAACATGTCTGAAACAAAGGTAGCTTGTGCTCAGCTTGGCTACGACAGTGCAGTGGCTTTCAAGCACTTGGGACAAGGACCTGATCCAATTTGGCTTGAGAAAGTAACTTGCAATGGTAATGAATCATCACTGGAACAGTGTCATCACCGAGGATGGGGTTCTTATAGCTGCATTCACACCAACGATGTTGGTATCGTGTGCAATACTGGTAGGAATAACGGAATGCAAAATTACATGGCATACTTTAATATCAAAACTTTTGAATTAAAGAAGATATGCCAGTGAAAAGTATGAAATGGATATCAGTTTCAGTTTATTCAAATTCAATTACATATTACAATTACATATATACCTGCAAATAGCATATAGCTAGTCTAGGCAGGTAAATTATATATTACATTAAAAACATTATTTAAATATTAAATATATTGATTTGACATATTACACTTTTTTGACTTATTTATATCTATTTTTTGAGTAGAAAGAAAAAAATATATATATGTATGTATGTATACAGCCTTTTGCACAAATTATGAGACATTTTTATATATATATAAATATACCTAACCAAATATCAAAAACACCCCAGAAATTATGGTATATCTCTATTATATTTTGTCATGATTGCCTAGAATCAGGTTGTTACAGACAAAATATCAGCGACGGTATCCCATAATTTCTTGGGTGTTTTTGATATTTGGTTAGGTATATTTATATATATAAAAATGTCTCATAATTTGTGCAAAAGGCTGTATATTTATATATATAAAAATGTCTCATAATTTGTGCAAAAGGCTGTATATATGTATGATTCCGTTAAAATCATATATATGTATGTATAAGAAAAAGAAAGAAAAAGAGAAAGGAGAAAAAAGAAAGCGTTCATTTACGAATTACTTAGTTTCATTGAGTTTTGATAATTTATGTTTCCAGAGTAGACATTGGCGTAGTTCAACTTTGAAGTACTTTTTTGATAGGCCCTTTATTTCAACTGGTATSTGATTCCACAATCTTACACCAAACCTAGAGAATGAAAGATGCTGTGTTTGTARACGAGATGATAGGTGATAGAAACTTTTCGATTTTGCGAACCTAGTGTTTTATGAGTGAGTCTCGTCAGTGAGTGTAAAGAGATTACAAATGTTAGGAGGAGCACGCTTATGGTATACATCAAACATAAGTAGAGCTATTGATTCGATATACAAGTAGTTAACAGGCAGTAGATTTGATTGAATGAAAAGTGGAACTGCACTTTCATATTGTTTGATAAAGAAAATATGTCTCAAGGCACGTTTTTGGAGTTTTAGCAGAGTATTTAAAGTGGTCATATTGGCTTGCCCCCATGCACTAATACCGTATGTTAAGTACGGTTCAACAAGTGATCTGTATATTTTCAGTAGCGTAGAAGTCGGTAAGTAATACCGTAATTTGGATAACAATCCAATTGTCCTGCTTAATTTTGCAGCTATAAAATCAATGTGTTGTTTCCACGAAAGATTTTCATCAATTAGAAGTCCTAGATATTTCACATATTTCTTGCGTTCTAAATTAGTGTTTTTTCCAGCGTTGTTGTCAAAAATGCTTAGACACAGATTAAGATTTCGTTTTTTCCGCGAAGAATGAAAGATGACAAAATTTGATTTCTTAGAATTAAGAGTAAGCTTATTTGCAGCCAGCCAGGTTTGAAGCTTTTCCAATTCAGTGTTGACATTAGTTTCTAATGTTTTTTTGGCACTTGTTTGCATAGAGGATAGAGGATATCTGCATTTTATCAGTTGGTGGGCGCGGCTAAAAAGCCACCACTCTTCTTTTGGTAAAAAAATGGTCTATAAAAGTAAAGTGCAGCATTTCATATTGTGTATAATATCAATTATAATCTCAAATAGCAGTTACAAAGTTATAATAGCAGTAAGCATAGATAACATGGTGGATTAAGTGTCAGACATTTGTCACAAACAAACTCTAATTTGTATGCAATTCATAAACTTATACTTTTTAGTAATCATCTATTAGGCAAATTGGATTAAGCCTACTTGGTCATATCTGATAAGTGTCATCCTTATTATCATTCTCTTTATTTGACACCACTTTATGCTTATATGAATTGTTCTAGCGCATGGCACGCGGAGCTATTAGCGTGCTCAATATTACAATGCTGCACTATGCATTTATATACTGTACTTAACAACTGTTTAACTTTGCAGAGATAAGGTGCATGTTAACATATTATAAACAGCTGAGCTTAAGTGGACAACTTGTGTTTTTGCCAAAATATTAATTGCCACAACCACATGGCCCGACAGATCACGTGCAGTACTAAACTTCCATGTACAAGGCTGTCAATTGGCCTTTTGCATGAAACGGCCACATGGTACTAAATCCGCCATACTGGATGGCAAAAGAATGTAAACAGCCTCAAATACGAAAGAATCGAAACTCAGCACGTCAAGCTTGATTTTTCTTTGTTTTGAACACCCCAGCAGGTATTTTGTCTCCAGTATGGTGGATTTAGTACCATGTGGCCGTTTCATGCAAAAGGCCTATTGAAAGCCTTGTGTAACGGTATTTACAGTATCGGGATACCTGTGTAGTCGGAGAGTTCACCATTGTTTGTATGTGTTAGTCCGATTGTGATATTAAAGGACAAGTTAGCACAACAACACAGTGTCTATTAACGACAGTCTAACGTAACACCTTGTACATGGAAGTTTACTAGTAGTTTATGTGACCACTTCCTATTTGTACATATCTATAGAAATTCAAAGAAATAGGGGAGGCGGGTTCCACTTTTGGCTCGTGTACCGCATTGTATTCCAGTCATTAAGATTCGGTGGCGCCACACTATATTTCTTACATACTCATTTTTATCCATATTTAGGAAGACAGTCACCATTGAGGTTGTTGAGTATAGCAACCTCTCCGTCATTAGCTCAAGGTATTTTGCAGATTTTTTACAATCGTCAATGGGGAACAATATGTGATGACGGCTGGAACATGACTAATACAGACGTAGCATGCAGACAACTTGGCTACGAGAGCGCAGTAGCTTTTAAGAACGTATTAGGACCTTATCAAATTTGGCTTGATAACGTAAATTGTAATGGGAATGAATGGTCACTAGATCAGTGCCGTCACCAAGGATGGGGCTCTCATAACTGTAGACATGACGAGAGCGTTGGTGTCGTGTGTTATACAGGTATAAAGATATTTTAATAACAATAACTGTCTACAGTAAAATGAATTGTCAAAGCGTGAATATTTATTTGATAACATAACAATGAATCATAACATCAATAGGTCTTCCTAATATGGGACAAATAACACTGCAAACCCACCGACAGCCGCTCCTCTCAGGCTCCTCTGGATGGCGCTTATTAAAAACAGCATTCAATAAGTTGCATTTAATCATCGAATCGGTCTTTATATCTCGTAGATTGTCTTGATACCTTCCAAAGGTTTTAAACTTATTTCAAGTTAACTTAGCCCCACCTCATCGATATATAGCTTCTTGGAGTTGGGTTTGCTGTGTTAGTTGTACCATATTAGGAAGACGACTTATTGTTATGGCATTAATCTAATCATCACAATCGAGATTGAGGACCTGATGATGTTGTAGAACAGCGAAAGCTCGACTTGATATTAAGTTACGTATTTACCATCTAACAGCACTATATGACCGCATTTGCTATATTATTACGATCGAGATTTTCGAGATTTCAAACTATTATAATTATACTTCGTAAATATCGCTAAAGCAACAAAGGAATACATTTTTATAGAAATTTCTTTTGCTATTTCTTTCTTTAAATTTCTTTGTCAATTGAAATCTGCTTTACATTCAGGTCCTCCTGTGAAAGTTCGACTGATTGGTGATGTGTCTAATGCAGGTCGAGTGCAATTATTTTACAAGGGTGTCTGGAAAAACCTCTGCAACACGAATTGGGGGATATCTTCCGCCAATGTCATATGTAAAATGGCGGGGTATCCCGATGGATCTGCTGTAAAATTCTCTCGCTACAATGACTCTGGTGATGTATGGCTTTCCAGCTATCGCTGTTATGGCTATGAACAGTCTATTGAGTCATGCAGGGACCTTAACTGGGGGCAGGCGAATTGTTCGAATAACAGTCTAGCTGGAGTTGTTTGTAAATCAGGTACACTTTATTTCAGCAATCAGAGTGATAGTTCTGGGGCCTAAATATTGAAAAAGTAAAGTGTCGTGCCATAGTCGGTTGTGGAGAGTGAACTTTCATGGTCAATGAAGTTCAGATCTCAGCCTTTAGTCAATCAATCAATCAATCAATCTTTATTTATTGATATCCAATATTCATCTAATTTACAAAATATGTTGATTCTAATATACTGATATGAATAGGTACCAAGCAAAAAGCTTATTGGTATATATACCTCTTGATTTTTGCGAAAAAGATTACAATTTCCTTTGGTAACTAGATATTGGAAATTATTTTTAATTATCTCTATCCCATTATTTATTAGTAAAATCACCAGCAAAATCGCTAATTGTTATAAAGGTAGCAATAGTTCATTTTTTAGTAATTTTGAAACTTATGGATATTTTTGCAATTTTCTTGTAAGTAATGAAATTCGTTCCACACCAATGGTCCCAAGAATGAAGTCGTATTATATCTATTTATTTATTAACTAACATTTAGCTTTTTTAGGATCCCCGAATGTTACTTTTCGCCTTGTTAATGGAACAGTTCCTCATGCAGGACAACTGGAAATGCGTTACTATGGATCATGGAAACCGTTATTTTTGAGTACTTATTATGCTTTGCCTGTACTGGGGTTAAGAGATGTCCATGTAATATGTCGTATGATGGGATTCAATCAGGCTATTACATTCAACCAGTTACAAACAAATTTAAACCACTATAAAGCACGCATTCGTTGTCGAGGCTTTGAGAACACAACAGAACAATGTCTAAACTTTAATGTGCATGATTATGGGAATTGGGTCCGGGCAAGTACCTGGATAGTTTGCAAACCACATGCAGGTAAGGATTTCCATTTTTCGTTACAGGAACGTACTACAATCGTTGCCAAAATACCTGGGAACGTACAATTATTTCTCTCCAGCCTAACATTTTTCTCCATTATTTTATCACAGTTTTCCCCCTTAGCCCCCTTTCATCAATSTTGGGTCTTGTTTTRGATGCTTGTGTACTATGGTATCATGATCAATGACAACATTGCATTAAGGGGGTCGGGGGGATGAAATTGTCTGAGGGTGTTGCTTAAAATGAGGAAATTCGCTGGAATGGTCCAAGGATTTTGTCAACGATTGTAGGTTAAAGAAGAAAATATACCATTGGTGGTCTTCCAGTTTTGGTATAAACAAATACTAAAATTTCATAACTAATCAATAAGATTCTAAACAAAACACATGAGAATTTTTTGGGAAAAAGTCACTCCTTTTGTAACCACTGTTTTGTTTGATAGAAGATTCTCTTGCGCAAAGACCTTACCAAACACAAAAGAAAGCACAAGAAAATGTTGTGAGTACAATAGCTCTAACAATTTACATTTTCCACCAGTTGAGGCTAACACTGTATTCCCAGAAGGCTAAAACTTAGGTCTCATGGGAATACAGAAGGTTAGTCTCAATTTGGAGAAAATTCAATTTTTCAAGGCTATTGTAATAACGACGTTTTCTCGTGCTTTCTGTTGTGTTTGTAAGGTCTTTGCGCAAGAGAATCTGCTGTCAAATAAAGCAGCAGTTATTCGCTTTGAATTTGAAAAAGGAGTATTGAAGCTAATTGAAGACGTATCAGCACCCACGCTATAGAGAGGATGACGCTTCGACTGAATGATTTACTATAAACAATATATTTTTCTCGTTGAAGGATCTCGATTTACTGTTCGTTTGATGGACGGGAGCTCTTTAAACGATGGCCGTGTTGAGATTGGGTATTCTGGAGTCTGGGGCACGGTTAGTGACAGGTATAGCCGCTGGGATTTGACAGACGCTACCGTAGTTTGTCGTATGTTGGGGTACCGCAATGCATCGTGGACTGGAAGAGCCAGGGTGTTAGGGAATGGTTTTGTAATGAGAGTGCATAAACACTGTAAAGGCAGCGAAAGATCACTCGAGAACTGTGAATATTATACCACCAAACAGTCATTCGACTATCATTCTTATGACGTTGGGCTGCGGTGCTCTAGTGGGCAAGGTAAGATCAAGTAGAGCATTGTCAGGAGGAGCCGACGGGGTCTGTTCTTCTAAATAACTGTTCTTGTATGAATATTTTCCTGGGAAAGGGATTTTTGAGCTAAATGTTGAAAATATCACAAGCAAATGAGGCGCCCTTCCTTTTTTAAAATAATTTTTTTCCTGGTAAACGTTTTTAAGGTCAAAAAAGGTTCATATTTTTTGAGTTAGAAAATTTTTATTGTCCTGGCAATAATTATTAGAAAGTATTCCCTGCCTGGAGAGAGTTCTTTTTTCCTGAATTTCTCGCTGGCAACCAGTCGTGACTTACAGCTGTTTGGGATATAAGAACAGAAATATTTCTCCCAGGAATTCGTCGGCTCCTCCTACATTGTATTTCAGGTATTGGGCTTTAAAATAAACTACCATATTAAGTAATTAATCATATAGGTTAATAAGAGTTTCAGGTAATGACAGATCGAGATATTAGGAATAATATAGAATCAATTTGGAGCACTGATGAGGCACATAACCGTACTTTCGTTCGTGCTATTAACGTTCTTCAGTAGTAAAGACATTAAGACAACAACTAGGTCATTTGCTTATATCACATTTTTGTATTTCTTTGCAAGAATATTCAACCGTGAAGCTCCAAAACGTCTCTATATTGTCAATCACATTTAATTGTCCAGTTTTTATTCTTGGTGTGCAACCACGTGACCAAGAATCCCCTGAGAAATAAAGATCAAAGCTATCGCCGACATGTTGGATGAATGAACAAGAGAAACTAATGAGGAATTCTTTGTGATTTTTATGGCCGCGATGACGTAACTTGCACGCCAAGAATTCAAATGACTTTGTTGTTGCCTTGTGAACAAGGTTAATGGATTGACCGTATAAAATAAATAACTTTTAATGTTTATTTTGTAATCAAAAGATAATGCTCTATAACAGTAAAAGTTCTCATGATGGCTATGTGCACCTCTTGACAAAATACTTACCCATGTCAGTAACATTATTGCCATCTTGCAGATCACAAGACATTACAGATAAGCTTAGAAAAGGGCGGCAAATCTCTCTATTCTGGTCGTGTTAAATTTCGCTATAGTAATTCATGGAGCTTTCTGTGCTACGAGGGACTAGACTACTACGATGTAAAAGTAATATGTCGGATGCTTGGATATGTAAATGTCAATCATGTTTACGCCATATGGACACCAAGCTCTCCCGATGGTAGAGTCTGGCTTAGTAATGTTGAGTGCAATGGCAGCGAGTCCTCTATATTGAATTGTACTTGCAAAGGATGGTGGCAGACGACGTGTGATTATGATGCTGTAGTTACATGCAAGACGGGTACATTTCAATGATTTTTCTCCAAAATGGCCTCCAAAATATATTATTTGTTTCAACCTTGGACACCTTTACGGTGCATATGCTTACTTAGAAGCGGAAAAACCAGTTTCGAATTCTATTTTGTGCAATAATAATAAGAGAATATAATAAGAGAATATATTACATGCTTTCGAGGTTAAGGCTGGACAAGAAAGATCTCGTAACTGGAGTATTATAAACACCTCAAATGTTGCCTATTTACAATTTGCACTTCATGTCATCCCTGATCGCTCTAATAATGGACGACGGGAAATTTCAATTACAAATACCCTTAAATTAAAAATACCTTTTCACTCGGATGATATTGAATTTTCCACAAAGCTGTGTCTAATTGTAGCAAATTTCAATGAAAATGTTTTAAATCAATTATTCTGTAAAATAAGCAGTTTTTTATTAATTTCATATTTTTACGGATTTGCATTGGATTTGCTGGAGTGCTTGGCATATTCTAAGTGAAGCATGAGCTCATTTTTAAATCAGCATTGTCAAGTTTTTTATAAGAACTGTGTATGTATTTTTCTTCTTTACCAGAGAAAACTACTGTCGATATCCGTTTAGAAGGCGATAGCGCACCTCATTCTGGTCGAGTTGGTGTTCGCTATAATAACATATGGGGTACTCTCTGTAACAAAGAACTGGACATGAATGATGCTATAGTTATCTGCCGCATGCTTGGTTATGATGGAGTACTTCACATCTTCACCGTTCCTGGAAATGGTACTATTTGGCTTAGTAATCTTAATTGCAACGGAGCAGAAGATTCCATTGTTGATTGTAGACATTCAGGGTGGTGGCAGACAAGCAATTGTAGTCATGATCAGGATACTGCAGTCACGTGCAAGATAGGTAAAGAATTCTAAAGTGCTACTTTGATGAAAAATGTAGACTTATCAATAAGTGTCCTATAATAAAAAGCGACGTATTTTGACAAGATATATACTCCATCATTTTGTTCTTTCTTCGTACGAGGCAAAACTGCCGATTTCTACTTTGGATGACTGCGTAGCAAAACCTTTTTTCTGAGAAGTTATAATAGGTATAAATAATTAAGTCATATATTTGAATAACGCAGCGTTTGAAATTAGTGCTTAATGCAAGTAGCACTTTAACGAAAGCCTATCTAGATATGATTTCTTATCCATCAAAGATTTTAACAATTGTAGCTGTTCAGAATATGAGGAAAAGTCAGTTAATTCACTAACATTTCGTTGGTTCTTTCTTGGAAAGCTGATGCCCCTAATTTCCAAATCGACGCAAACCAAGGCATCACAGATAGCACAGTGATTGTGGAACTATTCCAAACAAAAAAGCCATTTGATCCACGTCTGAAAAGGTATTTATAAGCTTCGTTATTTCCTTTTAGCATCTTGCTCCTCCTGATGCGTATTTCTCTTTTCAGCTCGTATCAATTTGTAATAGAAAAGGGTACAGAAGTACAAACTCCTATCACTTCATATAGCAATGCTTGCTTTGAGAAATGTTCTACCACAACCACGAATGAGTTTAGTGATCCTTACATCACTGCAGAACTTCCATTGAAGCCAATTGGTGATAGCAGCTTTACTATTGGTGATGGTTTCTTTCACCATGGTTACCATAATGCCCCATTAGAACCCGGATGTATGTACAGGCTGCAAGTGAGGATTGTTACTATGGCAATGAATGGGGTAATGATGCTAATGCATTCAAACATTTCAGCACATCAGTAATTTCGGTTTTGAACGTAAAATGTGATCTCTTTCAGGAAAAGATCTTTGGAAAATCGAGTTTTGCGAAGTTTACAACGAAGCCCACACGTAAGAATGGTCATATCATATCTGAGATACTTGTACACAATCAATTTAATAAAAATTTCTTTAACAGTTGATATTTCAGCTCATCCACCAAAATTTCTGATAAGAAGCAGTAGTTTCATATATCAGACATCAGCAGTGATCACCTTTATCGGCGAAAATAATAAACCCAAAGAGAATCGGTAAGCAAACAAGTGTGTATTTTCACCATGACTCGAATTTATCTGTCTAGGAGAGTATGGAAGTTGATTGGTCATAAATGACACTCTATCATCCTTCAGTTCTATCTATCACCCTTCATTGGAAAATATAACGTTCAAAAATTCATTACATGCCATGTGGAGATTCATTGCATACCATTGGACAACTCATTACATGCAATTGAACTATTCAATGTATAACTTTGGATGACATTCTATTGGATTGGCAATGTCGCACCAACTCCTTCGCTCCTCTTCGTTATTTTCAAAATGGTGTCGGGTCCAGACTGCTGTTTTTAACCTTTTTTAAAAAAACTGCTGTTTATCGCCAACAAAAACAACACGCAAACAAAAACAAATAAACATGCCTGACCTATCGAATATTTTTATGCTGAAAAATTGCCTACGCGGGCCTCTTCTTTTGTAGATATTAAGTCACAATGAAATCCTCGAATAATGACCGACGCGGAATTTGGTCGAGTATTCCTTTCTCCAAAAAATCAGGCTACTGCAACCACAAATCTGAACAGCAGATCATTTTTTCTATTTTCATTAGATGAAATAAAACACAAGCAAGCATAATATGCAAAGACTTTCTCTTTTAGTTGGTATCAAGTTGCAGTCGAAAAGGCAGATAAAGATATGGAGATTTTCAAATCTCAAGATGTAGGAATAAATTTATCTTCTGTTGTTGCTATGATACCAACCAGCATGTCAGATTTCACCATCGGTGACGGTGCACATGGCTATAATAACGCACCATTAGAACCCGGATGTAATTACAAAGTTTATGCAAGAGTAATCGCTTTGACATCGAATAAGGTAATAACGGTGATCACCAAACAAAAGATTACTGATAGACCTAATCGGCTAACGCGTTGCTATAAACGTTTTCCCCCAATTCAAACCACCCGTAAGTTTGATTGTTCGTTCTATGTTAATATGAATTCACAGTTGAATTCTTAGAAAAAAAGGTATTTTTCACAGAGTATTTGAATTGAGTGGTCACGTACAATGCGTTGGCCAACTAGGTCTATTGGCTTCTATTGCTAAGCACAGCAGCAACATGGCTGCCACATCTTTCGCTCCATATTTCTCTAAGGATTTTAGTCATGTGACTGAAAAGGGTTCGCTTGCATATTTTCTTTCTTTGTAATTTTTTTTATTTTCTCATATGATTTTTTTTTGTTATTGTTGTTGATGTTGTTTATTGGTTGTTGTGTGTGTCTTGATTTTTTGTTTTTATTTTTTATTTGTGTTGAAGCTTGTTGATGTTGTTGTTTTTACTTTGTTGCTTTGTATTGTATTGTTGTTGTTGTTGTTGTTGTTGTTGTTGTTGTTGTTGTTGTTGTTGTTTATATATGCTGTTATTGTTACTTTTTTGTTTGGTTGTTTTTTCGATGATGGATTATGCAGATGTAATCAACGGTTTCTTTTTCAGACAACAGTTATCAGCGATACAGCATTTGTATCTTTTACAACGAAATCTGGTAGAGTGCACGCCGACGCACAAGGTGAAACAATATCAATTATTGGAATCACTGCTAAAGTTAGCATTTCAAATGCTTTATAGTTTAGTACCTAGGAAGAATTACTGTATTATATAACCTGCTTACAGAAAAACGWATCAAGAGTAACACTTTCTGCCATATACCTTTAAACTACATTTCAAAAGTCAAGACTCAATAACGCTATTTTACCAATTCATAGATTCTTCAGGAACATCTTGTAAGAATTACGCCAAAGACCCATTGTTGGTGATTGGCTTATTTGTTGCTATGGGGATTGCGATCMTTGCATTGATTGGCTGCATTGTATATATTGTGATGACAAAGAAGTGGGAGAAGATAGGGGAAGACAATATTAATCCACAGATCGAAATTTCAGGTAAAACTTGTTGATCTTTAAATGAATTCGATACCGGCTCAAACTACGTGTCTTTGAAGCTTGTTTCTGCTGTTGTAAGAACAATATAGCGTGAAACATTGCCAAAACCCAACAGCATTAATAACAGATATAGACTCCAGGACTCTCAGAAGGAAGAATATGTTGTGTTTTAGTCCGATCACGTGTCATTTCTTTACGAATGACTCCATTTTGGTCGTCACTTTAACTAACGTTAAAATCCGTTAGCAAACATATAGGGTCATCTTACCACAATACATACTATATATGATAAGACTTAAATCTGAAATTCAAAAAATCGTTTTTTGTGTTCTAAATTCATTACAAATGACACCGTATTTCGTATTATGTTTCTTACCGAATTAAGATCAAAATGCAGTGTGTATCTCAGAAAAGGGCTTTTAGATTGCAAAAGGGACATATAGAATGCCACATTGGTAACTCGAGATCTTTGCACTTGCAATAATATTACAGATAAACAGCACCAGAGGTGGTTTGATCAAAGCCCAATTAGTGTTAATCAAGTATTAACTCCTCTGAACTCCATAGATTTTTTTAAGAGTTAACCCAAGATTAGCACTAATTGAGGTTTGAACAACTAGCACTAGATGTATTGAATTGTAAATGTTTGATACCAACAGATTTAGCAAGTGTATGTGTCAATGAAGGAGAAACCAGTGACGATCAGCAATACCAGGAGCTGAATCTTCCACCGCAGCACGGTAAGACAAGTCAATATTTTTTCACACTTTCCTGCGCTATTTTTAAAAGTAACCGTGTGTTGGCATCGAAGCGAGATGGCCGATGAGATTGCAACGATGGAAACCTTTCGTTTACAAGCATGCCTTATTTTATTATGACGTCACACCAAAATATTCTATTATAAGGCTAAGCGTTATGGTCGCCAGAGGAGATCAAAATGACTGCATATCAAATAAAATGTACACGAGCAATCATTTACACATGACATATATCAAAACGCGATGCATCGAAGTTCTACTTTCGGAGAGAATATTATAAAGGATAAAATCGTCGACTGTTTTTGAACATATTTTCCCTGTATAAACATACGGTGACGTCACAGTGAAATAGGACAATTATTCGCAGATGCCTACCATTGCAATCTTTGATCTCACCATTTTTATGCAAATGCACGGTTACACTGAATGTTCAAAGAACATGATACTATAGGCTTTCCTTAGAAAATGGAATTTCTCATATACTACTTTCTCAAAACTGCCATACGGTCTAAAAACGGTGATTTTTAGAGAGAATCTATGGGCTTATTAACGCTTTTGCCGCTCTATGACAATGAGAATAATCAGTTTAGAAAACAAGGGACCATCTATACTAAAATTTGTATACAAAGAAAAGCCCAAAGAGTAACATTTGATCATTGCATGAATCATTGCAGATGCATTGAGATCGCCTGGTCATAGTTCTCAAGACATCTATCAGTCCCTCAGCCCTCACACAAGATCGCAGGGAAATAGAGGTTTTGATGAAGAACAACCATCAAGGACTCGCCATATTTCAAATCTCACTCGAACGGTGAGTGCTTTTTTGGGTTTCTTTTGCTTTCTACAAAGCAAAAGAAATCAGCTTGATCATCCAGGCTAGACCGCTTCATATAATTAGGTCCAAAATTAGATCCCTTTTGATTGCAAGTTGAGAGAACTTAGTGTACTGCATACTATGCAGGGGAATTCCTGGGATTGCAATGTAATGCACGTGGCGCAAGTTGGATAGTACCTCGCCGATAATCAATGATTTTTGACTTGTTTCCTTTTGATTTTTTCATTTTTTTAGGAGAGATCTAATCTGTATCAAATGGAGGAACCGGTATATGACAATGTCAATGTCTGAATATCTAATTCATAATGATGAAAAATGCTCACAAAGTCATGACGTAGTAGGAAAACAGCAGCAATTCTTTCCAAATCAGCTGAAAGCGCTATCGCTTCGCAGCGGTGGAGGAAAATACCTCTGTTCATAGACAATATAATGTGGCATAGCGTAGAAAAGGGCAGAGAGAATTGAAGTGTGCTAACTACAACAAGAACATATTGATAACCTGAGAGATTCAGTAGCTAGGAAATCCAATATTCATAGCTATCTATCATTATTAGATAAACAAAGTCTTTAAAACATAAAGATGTACTCATTAAGAGGTTTCCGTTGTGTTGTCCTATAAGTCAGTGAAACAAGAAGTGGTGCAGGTAAGGGGTTGGACATTCAAACAAATGAGCTCGCAAGACAGCAGTATAACTGTAGAAAGCCTGTGTAATTTGAATAAATAAAAGAATTCTAACTTTTAATGACACCGGTATCACTTGGGTGGACCAGGACCATCAGCAAGGGTGGTGTTATACAGACCAGTTGTAGGTACAGGTTAGGGAGGTGTAGACAAGCCGGATGAATAAAACAGTATGTGCAAGCTTAGCTTCAATCAAGCATAAATTTTTATCATCTTCTTTATTTCTCTAAGGATTTTAGTCATGTGACTGAAAATGGTTGCCTTGCATATTTTCTTTCTTTGTTATGTTTTTTATTTTCGCGTATGATTTTTTTGTTATTGTTGTTGATGTTGTTGTGACGAGAGGCCTTCTGGGAAGGCTCTCGTCATAATGTCATCGTGCAGGTAAATAAGAGTGTAACCACTCCACTTCTACCAGGCGTTCCTGGTGGTAACTTAAACATGTGGTCGTAGTCAAGGAGATCTTTTACGATCGAAGTAATTTCGGGTTTATCGATTTATACGAGACTATACGAAGTTATCTACGAAATCCTGACGTCTGAAATAATAACTGAAAATACGATCAAGAAACGATTTGTCCTGACCTTGTGCGTTCTCAGTCTCTTCGATCGTTGATGTGTTTGTGCTTTCGAAGCTGAGTTGTTCTTTCTATTACGGTATAATGTATTTAAACTCTGTTGTGTCTAGACCTAGGCACAACTTTCTTTGCATTTACAGTCAAGTGTGTATTTCTAAAGAATATTTTAGATTTTGTAGTGGTTTACGGGGATTGTTTGACAACAAAAGTCCGATTGCTTCGCTTGGCTTGTTACAGACCAGTCCCGAACGCATGATTACTGTCATTACTAGATTACACATCAAAATGATTTGACCTATGTTAGCTTATGTTGTTGCAGTCTATTTTGACTCATGATGTTAATATTATATGAAAATCCGACTGTTCATAGACACGAACTTTTATGTAATAAGACTAATAATGACAATGTTACACTAGTTTTGTGAATAACATTCACTTTTATTGTTCAAATTGCAGTTTATACATAAACAAGCAAAAATCTTCTTTGTTTAACTTTCTTTGTTTAACTTGTGCTCCTTTATCTTTTGCATAATTATATTAGAGTACAAGCAATAAATGTGTACAATACTACAAAATAGTGCTAACTATTAACAACAGAAAACGATAGAAATAGCATACTTAAGTAGTATTTATGTATGAGTCAATTCCAAAGGTGCCCATCCCCCCCCCCCCCCCCCCCCGGGCGAACCCCCGGGCATTTGACTTTTTGGAAAAAAATTGGTCAAATTCCCCACCATATGGGCAAAATTGACAATCAAATGCCCACTAATAAGAGCAAATGAGTGGTCAAATGCCCGCCCCACAAGTCAGTTTTTTTACGCTAGTTTTCGAGTGTTTTTGTTGCTTTTTATATCGTGATTTCCCATCGTGAAAGTACAAAAGATCGAGAATGTTCCCAAAAATGATTGTAAGCCTCGTGGCTGCTAATAGCGATCCGTGATCATGTGAAGCGCCTTTGAACTGTAAGGATATCGGCGCTATATAAATAATACGTATTATTATTATTAAAATGCTTAGGTTCCCGAGATATTTTTATTTTTAACTTAAGCTTAAAAGTTCGTATTGTGTCACGAAATAGCGGTTTCGCATCTGAATCGATAATTTCCAAGATGGTCGCCTACTCGTCAAATGCCCGCCCGTCTGCTCCTAAATCAGAGTCAAATTCCCCACTGTACGGAGGTAAAGTCGTGTCAAATGCCCGGGGTTTGCCCGGGGAGGGGATGGGCACCTTTGGAATTGACTCATACATTACTCGACATAATCGTTATGTTTAAAAGCTTCTAGTACGAATATCATTGAAGATATTTCTCGATGAAATCAGTTATTTTTTGGTGTGTTTGTATGGCGTGTTTGGTTTCAATGTCTGAGTCCATAGGGGGTCGCATCTATTTTTAGCCATACACGACCCTGGGGTTTTCCATCTATTGAATCCCGTTGTTTTTAGGCCAATCACAGCAGTGTATTTCAGAGTATTACCCCATCGCGCCGACTGCACGGCCGTATCAGGCGTGTTTTCCCTGAGCAAAGTACAAAGATTCCAGACGTCGGGAGCGTACGCTTACTTATCAAAAACTGCTCCATAATGACCACGAAAGAAAGAAAAAAGCTTAGGCAATATACTACCGATGAAGTTAA